CGCTACAGCCATAAGCCCAGCTAATGATATTTTGTTGAAGTTGTTCATTCATCCAGACCCTCAGCTCCAGGTTAAAACTACTATTTAGAATATTTGTCTTTTGTGTGGTCTTTTTGTGTTTTTGTGTGTGTATTTTGTTAATACTGAGATTTTTGCTTTTGCGTTATGAGAATAAATACAAATACTATCAAAGTGTGAGGTGTATTTTTACATCCTGTTGTGTGTTGTCATGCTTAGTCATGTTTCATTATTAGATTGACCAGTCTGGACAATAACGCTTTGTTTAAATTGACTCATTTTTATTAAATTTTTATTTAAATCATATGGTACAACGCCTGTTTGTGGGTACATAATGACTGTCCCATCATCCCCAACCCTCCTAGCGTGCATGTGGCTGTGGCTATAGTGTGATTGTTCCCTGCAGCACAGTGACGGTCTGTCCAGATATATTGATTCTTCCGTCATCTCTCACTTCTAGTTCCAGCTCCCCGCCTCGACTGGAGCACTGGTAAGCTACACAAACACAGAGGGGATAAAACGAGCGTCAGTATCTGTTTATAGGGAGAAACAATGCCTGATATCAAGTTAATCACACAAAAAGACTTTGCCTCTGGCTTAGTTTAATTGCATTGGTTTAGAATTAGAGAAGTTGCTAATCAGATCAAATGTTAATTAGGAATTAGTTTAATTGATTACCCAGCATTTTATTCTTTCCCAGCTTCTTAGACCAGTAGCTACCCAGCACGGTGTGGGCAGAACCTGCAGGGACACAAAAGACATCTTTACTGCCTGAGTGCTTTACATGTGACACTACATGTTTTAGTATTTTTGCCAGTACCTGTTGCTTGTATGCAAATGTGAGGATTACTTAGTTATCAGAAAGTACTTTACAATTTAAACAATTTGCAACGTAGTATCCCACACTCTCTAACCCAACAACGACTGTGAATGTGTGGCCAATGGGGTGGTAGTGGTAGTAGTAGTAGTAGTGGTAGTGGTAGTAGTGGTAGTGGGAGTGGTAGTAGTAGTAGTAGTAGTAGTGGTAGTATCTACCTGTGACAGGATCCTCAGGGATGCCATTCCATGGAGCAAAGTATCTGGAGTAGAAGTCGTACCCTGGCTGGTTGTCCGGGGATCCTATTGGCAGATAAAGAATGACAATTTGATTAACGACGACTTGTAGTTTTCACAGTCTCAACAGTGTTCTGTTAACATGTCGTATTTGTTGGCTAATGAGCATGAAACCTTCAGTGGACATTGAGATGCAACATAGAGGCTAACTAATAAAGGGTTTATCATGTCAGTTAAGGCAACAAACAACTGTTACTTATTTCTTTAAAGACCGTGCGTGTCTTAACTGTGGTACCACTATACAATTACTGCATATCAACAAGTCATAAAGCTGTCCTACAATCTCCCCCTGGTCCAACTAGTTTTTAGCTCTGATTACCTTTCATGGTGAGGATTAGTCCTTTGACTCTTCCACTTGTTTCACAGCTCTGGAGAGCAACAGGGTCAACTTTCAGACTGGTTAGCACCGACCTGCAGAAAACACAGAGTCACAAACAAACCTGGCAAGAGAAGAGACTTAGGAAGCAGTGCCCATGTGTGAAGATGAACTATTATACTGTGTGTGTGTGTGTGTGTTGATTGTAACCTGTCACAGCTGTCAGCCAGTCGAACCATCAGCTTTTTAGTGTTGGCGCTAAGATAAACATCCTGGATTGGGTGGTTTCCAACTGCAACCTTTATCCCACATGCAAGAGCAGAGACACAGTTAAGCATGCACACACAATAAACACAGAAATGTAACCACACTGGCACATATTCTAGAGTGTAGAGGTGCTCATGTATAGACAGAGAAGCAGGAGTCTACTGTAAAACATGCTCTCACAAAAAAAGAAGGCGTCTTACTGACCTTGATGAGATCTCTGAACTCGTTGGCATCCTGAGAAAACAGGTTTTAGAAAAAAAATCTTATTGAATAATAGCTTTTTGTTGTCTTTTGAAATATTTCAAGTCACTGAAAAACTTTCTTTGGAAAACCTTGCAGTGCTAATGCAGGATGTTTGAGTTCTGCTAATCCAAGCTGAGCTGTATGTTACATTATTGTGGGATGGTTGCAGTTTGTGGGTTTTACAAAAGCAGTTTTCTTAATGTGATGCTGATTGACGTGAGTGTTGTGAGCAATGAAGAATGAACAGTATAGATGTTGAAATGGAAAGGACTGACTGTGTTTAAGGTTGTGTTTTATTTAATGTTAATCATATATGATATCATTTCCAAATTCAGTTGCATAGTGTTGGTAATGTTTTCATTCCTTATAGCCTTGCAGGTCCACACAATGTATCCTTCACTTCGTGATATAAATACACATTTTGAGACAAATAATTGTTGGACCTATGATTGTATTATCCTGATGTGTTTGTCTGATCACATACTGTACCTCCTGGGTGGGTGGGTTGAGAGGAAAGTCCATGACGTACCCTTCCCCCTGCTGGGTGACAGCCAGATCTCCACTCCTGGTCTCAAACACCAGTTTCGGATTCACATTCTCTAACAGACATAATAAATACACAGAACATAATGCTCACAGGCTTACAGAAGAGAACATGTAACTGGCTAATGTGGATGTGTTGGCTAACAATACTTTATCATGTCTTGTATCTGGCTGTACTGTGTATTATATTGAAAAGCGTTACAATATGAACAGCTTTTTTATTGTCAGGTAAATCATTACAAAGTATTTCAAATTGCCTCCTAGCTCAACTTAGTGGATTTCTGTGTGTGTCTTGTGTTCCAAATCAAGCCAGTGCATTTAACTGGATTATAACTGATTATAACTTGATATTCTGTTCATGTTTGTGTGTGTTTGTTTTGTAACTTACTCTTATGCTTGAACAGCACCGCTGCAGAGGCCAGAGTGGCATGACCACACAGATTCACTTCAGTGGTTGGTGTGAACCATCGAAGTCGGAACCTTGATCCTGTTAATCACATGGTTAATGGTTTGCTTCACATTTAGCAAATTTTCACCCTAATGCAGATGTGCTGTTTTAATGTGTACAATAAGTAACTGCTGAGCCGCAAGCTAAATGTATACCCAAGGAGGGCGATTTAGATTTACTTAAGGCTATGTAAGCCTGTGTGGATGGCATTGAGATTCCTCTCTGTGCAGTTGTATCTTTTGTGAGACACTGAGTGACTGCACGCTGTTTACCAACTGTGAGCTTATTACATTGTACTTCCAATTACCAACAATGCAAGTCTTTGCTGTGTGTTTAGCATTGTACCTGTCAGACTGTTGAGGACAGGTGTTATTTTCTGAACACAGAGGCAGAATGACCTCAATAAACTGCACAGAGGTTCACAACTGTGTCTTTTGATCTGCAACCAGAATATCTTAAGCTAGTGGGCGACTTGTCGTTATACCTTTATTCCTTATAGCCACTTGATTACCTGCAATGATTAATATGTGTATTATGCAACTAGTTAAATCTGTGTTATCAATTTACTCTGTTAATCTGTTTGTTTCTTATCAACCTGCCTGGATTTTCCGAACAGTCAGTGAGGATTGTCCAGACTTGCCAATAAAACCTGGACTTTCCTCTGCAGGTAAAACGTTTGTGTTGTTCTTTATGTGCTGTACTCACAGCTACACAGTATGTGACATTGTGCCCATTTAGCATATTGTCTACAGTTTATTATGTCAAGCCAGTTGGAGCGGGTACATTACCTTTGCAGATTAACTGTGCACAATGGACAGTGTGATGACCATTGAGGCTCTATTGTATTGGCCACTAGCACAGGTATTTACTTCTTTATTGCTTGCTCCCCATTTTCTCTCCCCATCAGAACAGCTTCAATAACAACACGTAGGTTGTGCATTGGTAAGGGCTTGTAAAAACATTGGGTTTAATCATTGTAATGAAATACTAACCCGCCCAGACTGGTGCTTTTCTGTTGAACCCATTTAACAAATCTAAACAATCAATCAATCAATAATAAAAATATATGAAACCCAATATTATCTGACCTGTGGTAAAATTATCAGAGGGGTTGATCCTGGTGATGAAAGCTGTTTCTGACAGGTTCATCTCTGCTGCTATCCTCTGATACAAATCATCTCTCAGTTCCTGTTAGAAACACATACATAACACACAAACATATATGTTGTGTTTTGACATGCAATAATTACACACTGAGGTAGGCCTACATGCACATGGCCTATGATATATACAAAATGCTTAAACTATGACTATTTTATAACAAATTGTGTAATAATGTCGCAGTCGTGATCCTTGAACAAACAACTGAATACACAAGTCGAAGTGTCTTGATATATTTTGAGCCATAACAGCCCGTCCTATGGTAGTCTGCATTCTGACATTACTGTTGTCACATAAACCTAAATTCTTACTCACATGCATAAGTGGACAAATTGCCGCGGGGTTTCCCTTGAACGGTAAATTAGTAAAGGCATCAAGCGTATACACTGGAATCTCCATTATGATTAGACAAAAAATATGAAAATAGCTTTAAATTAAAAGAGTCACGGTGAAGATTTGACACAGTCGACCGCTGCTGTCGACGGACTTTACACCTCGTGTGTTTGCTTTGCGCTCCTCAGCTTCACCCTCTGGCTGGTTGTCAGATTATTAACCTTTGTTTTCAGCGGCACGACTAGCTAGTGTTTAGACGCTTTGTCTAGTGTTGCAGAGGAGTTTTTGTATTGTCATATGTGTAGTAACAACACCAAGCTCGTCTAATTAATGAATTAACTGTGTTGTAGTTACAAAATAATTTCACAACAGGTTAATAGCAGACCACCTCAAGGTGTGACTCAGACAGAACCAGGACATTCTGATGTAGCATTTAAAAATGAAAGCCCTTCAGTCTGTGTGGAGTCAAAGATGTCAAAGATGTCATTGTATGGAAATATTGACAAGAATATTTTCATAGCACCTTAAACTTTTCAGCAGTTAGCTATTTGAAGGTGCAATTTCAGCTCACAGTTTGTACTTCATAACATGTTTGATTTGTGTTTGGATGTGGTCAGAAATGTCCTGAACACATACATATCAGTAAGTCAAGATATTATTAATTTCATTAACTTTCCAGCAACCCTCAAATCAAAGAATAAAGACACAATTTAGTTGTATTTCCCTTTAACTCACTAGATGCAGGTAACCTGTTTTGTACTTAATGTTAATTTAATTCATTTAATCTTATTTCCACAAATGCAATTTGTATACGCTTAGTTGACATCCTATTTTGGAAACCGGATGTTGTCTGATGGTAATCTTTCCCGTTTATTTGCCATCTTATTTTGAAAACCGGATGCTGTCTCACGTTGATCTTTATGCTAACTTTGCAAAGTCCTTCGCTCGCTCCCGATCTGTGCCGTTTGAATGCGTTTACCGTGAATTTCAACATATAGGCGCACTAAAATTTAAGTGTCTGCTGGGTTGACCACGGAGATCCGAGTGTCCGCTGACTTGACCGCAGTGGGTAGGAGCAGGAGACGAGAAGTGACTGTGAGATAATTTAAACGTTTTCACACATTTATCGCTGACCTATGACATACTTCTGTCTCATGATACATGTTGCTGTCCAATGACTGCGTACGACCGTCGGGAATTGAACTAGTCTGCCCGGACGTTTGACCGCTGACAGTGTCCCTACTGTTAGCCTTAGCTGTTAGCCTGCTAACTGCTAACGTTACCTAGCTAACATTAGCACGTCAGCCCGGTAGAGACACGGTAACATAACAATTAGAGGACGCAGAATCGACAAATGTTCCGCTGTGGCGACTCTCAAATAAGTAATTTAACCAAAGAATAGATAATGTCTTGCTAGAATATGTTTGGAAAGGTCTCAGTGAGTTGAAGTTGAACTGTGGTAACGTTAGCTAGCAAGGCTCTTGGTTTAACCAACTCTTTGAGAAACGGGTTGAAGGAGGAAGTAACACACGTCAGGTGAATGTTTTTTTAACGTTGAGGTTAACTGTCGTGACATTTACAGTAACGTAACGTAACGTGCATTATAGCTCTAAATTATTAGACATTTCCTACCGGGGATTTGCTATTGCATAACTCGCTGTTTTTAATTAATGTTACGAATAATTCATTGCTGTTTGTGACACCAGCTTCCTGCAGAAAGGTTGTTATGTAACGTTAATGTATTACATTTAAGGATATATATGAATGATCTGCATATTTCATAGTTGAAGGCTTCTGCTCAGGTTATGATGTACTGCGCAAATAGAAGTAATACATGGCTTTTATGAGTTAGTTAATGCAAGACAATAAGAAGATGTTTAGAGCAGTTTGTTAGTATTTATTTAAGATATCTGCACAGGTA